CAAGCAATAATAACAAAGGACACACAGTTTAACAGCTATATTGATGAAGTGATGATGCTGTTTTATCTGGTATCTCTCTGCTCCACGGGAGAGTTCGACCATCCCTTTATCTTCAACAGGAAGACATTAAGAGCAGGATGTTCACTGACTGGAGCCTTCGCGCTCATCTCTCTGTGTGCCATTTTCATAGAAAATGAGGCTGCGTAACATACTGTAAACATGATGCTATCGTTACATAGATTGCGCCTTAGGACAGCGCACGAGATAAGAAAGAGGTTATGAGGATCATAAAGTATGTGGTTACAAACCGTTTTTGTCTCATAAATGAAAATGTATCATCCTCACTTAAAATGTATGCATTGACTTAAAGGTAAATAGGTTAGCAGGCTCTCAGGGGTCATCAGGAGAGAGACTACGGTTGATGGCATCATAGTGACAGTGGTTGCAGCAAAGAAGCAGATGTTAGGTTATCCTATTCATAGTGAGTCTCTTAAATGTTAGGGAATGTAGCTAAATTGGAGTTAACACACAATAATGGTTAGATTTGTTTTTCAAGAAAAGCAAACACTCATTTTATAAACTACCTGTACTATGATTAATAAAAGATGGTGCTTTAAGTGAATTATTTGTGTCATACCTTCTGGTGTTAGGGAGGTTATATTGTGTTTTACAGAGGAACAAATTGATGGATAGAAAAACAGCAAAATGCTTAATCTCCACTATTGACTCATCTGTATTAAATGGAAAACAATACCACAGATTTGACTCAAAGTTAATAGAATTAGCAATGAAATGTTCAGGCATTGAACATCATGTAATCATCATCATGTATCATGTGTTGAGGAACCTTGCCATGCACATCTTGACAAACCAACTCAAGTTGGTGGAAAATGAAAAAAATCTGTAAGATTTGTGTGCCCTCTGTGCTATTGTTAATGTGCTTCATTCCTGAACCTTTATATTTTACAGTTGGATGAACCCTAACAAACACTCTGACGTAATCTTCATGGCTGTAACAGATTTTCGATTAGGATTACAACATTTAATCCAGTCTACGCTTTAATCCACCCTTGTTTGTGTCTGTTTAGCTGATATTGATGGTTGTGGTTCAGCTCATTATCTGAGCATCGATCTTTTCTATGTGGGTCTATCCTTTTGATGGAGTTGAGTGATAAACTCTCTGAGACCATGTTTCATGATCAACAGCTCATTAAGGTCTGGAACTTCTATCTTTTTTTTTAATCTCATTTGCATAATTAGATGTGTGTATTTGTTTCAAAAGTGCAAACTACAGCTTGATTTTGTTTTTTACTGTTACTGCGACAGTTAATCCTGGTTGTTCAAACCATAGCTCCATTCATCGTAGTGTTCTTGGAAAAAACACTACATTGTGCTCTGACGTCCCCTTAGTCAATCCGCCCCACGGCAGCAGTGGCTATATTTCAGTTTACCACCATCAGTCTTGATTTTTTTTTTCTTTTTTTATTTATTATTTTTGTCTTGTTTTTTTGTTTTGTTTTTTTAACAAAAGCACTATAATTAAATGCCATCCCTCCAAAGTTTTAGAAGCATCATATAAATGACGTAAACGACTTTACTAAAGATTTTTTTTTTATTATTGAAAACCTTAAATTGGAAAATTGCAGGGATGATTTTGACTCTGTGGCTTTCTTTTCAAAGATGGTAAAAATATATATTCAATTCTTACAATACCACCAGGATTTATACCACTGATAAATAAAGTAAGTAGGCTGAGCAAAAGTAAGTTTACACACTTCCTATTTTATTTTTATTTTTTTATTATACACTTCCTATTAATAACGCATGACATTTTAAACTATACCTTTATTTCTTTTCAATCGTTTTTGCCAGTTTATAAAACCGTGTTTTTTCTTAGCAGCTGGAAGTAGGCCTGTCCTGTATGACTTTATCACTGCAACATTATCGCTGTTCCCCTTTTTCTTTATACCAGAGAACTGTTTAAGATCTCTACTATGGCATTTTGGTCTATATATATAGACTATATCTATAGTCTATATATCTTCTTAGAAGATAGTTTTAGGATTTGTTTCTTTGACTTCAGTAAATAAGATCCTTGGTAGTAATAAGTTGTCATGTTACAATGTTAGCTTTGCATTTTGTCTTATTGCATTTCTGTCAGACTGCAAACCTAATTTTGTTGTACTATGTGATTATTTTGATTCCTCTGACAGTAAATTCAATAAAATTCAGTTTATCTATATAGTACCAATACCAGGGGTGGAAAGTAATGAATTACATTTACTCAAGTTACTGTAATTGAGTAATTTTTATGAGTAATTTGTAATTTTCTGAGTAGTTTTTGAAATATGTAATTTTTACTTTTACTCGAGTAAATTTTAACCTAAGTAGTCTTACTTTGCTACATTTAAAATCCCCTCACATTACTGAGTAAAAAAAAGAAAAAAATACTGATGGTGAAAAAATTAAATGTGGCCCTACCTTGCAATTACCCTTTGTATTTTCTAATAATCCAGTGCTGCGCTTCGGAAGATGGCAGTTGCTAACCACAACTTAGGGAGTATGGATGAGGAAAGGCCTGAAGAGGAAACATATTCTGGAGACGAAAGCCAGAAAAACCCTTGGCCTTATTTGGAAGGATTATTTGTTTTCAAATGCACAAAAGGGAACAATGTGATAATGCAGTGCGACATGTGCCTGCCCAGCAAAACGGAGGTTTTGGCTTTAAAACATCGACATCCAATTTACGAAAACATGTGGCGGTAAGTTAGTTATCATGGTGTTGTCTGTTGGACAGTAGGATTGAAAATTGTTTGCACTTTATGGTACAGGTTCTGACTGTCCTTGTCCTGTGAGGAAGTATGTTCTTTAGCCCAGCTGATCTTTTGCAAGTGTGGATGTCCACTGAAATATGCCTTGAAATCGATTAAAACACCTTGTGCTCAATTCAATTCATGACTCATCATTTTTTTTGCATTAAATAACTTAAAATAACTAAGTAACTTTTACTCAAATTACATTTTAAATGAAGTAATTTTGTACTTTTACTTGAGTAAATTTTGAGATGGGTAATTTTACTTTTTACTCTGAGTAGAATTTAGGCAAGGTAAAGATACTTTTACTCAATTATAATTTTTTAGTACTCTTTCCACCTCTGACCAATACACAACAAATGTCATCTCAAAGCAATCAACAGAGACAATGCAATCACATCATACATCTCAGAAATGTTCAAAGTAAAACCAGCTGATTGCATCGACTCATTGACTCGACATCAATCCCTCACACCAAGAATGCATGCAAATCTGTTCTTGAAATTTCTATTTTCTTCTTGGCACCATCGAAGGATTCAACATCAGAAAAGCACATAACCCCCATCTTAAGATATTTTAATTGATTGCCTGTATGTTTTAGGGTTGATTTTCAATTGCTCTTATTGGCTTTGAAATCAATGGTTTGACCAACCCTTATCTTCCTGAGCTGCTGCACTCCCATACACCTCCCTGCTCCCTGAGGTCTGCCAATCAGCAGCTCCTTATTGTCCCTTAATCCAAGCGGTAACAAAGAGGAGATTGTTCCTTCACTGTGGCGGCTCTGCAGTTGTAGAATAATCTGCCTTTGGATGTCAGACAGGCCTCCTCTCTTTCAGAGTTTAAACATTTTTTTAAAGACACCTGTTCACTGAGGCATTCTATACATCCTGAGAGTTTAACCTTATTTTTTATTTTTATCTCTTTATCTGTTTATGTTTATATTCATTTTTATCTTTTTTTTCTAGTTTGAATATCTTAAATACTTTTAATTTGGACTATTTTAACTCGTATTATTTTATTTTAGCTTGTCTGTATTTTGCTTGTGTATTTTAAGTTCACTGTTGCTTTCAGTTGTATGTGCAGCACTTTGATGATC